CAAACTGTAATTGTAGGAGTCCCCAGCACTACAGACATTAGTGGCTTTGCTGGCTCTTCAGCATTAGTTCTTTTCCTTCCTATCTCACAGCCCATGAGCCTGGCCAGAAGACATCATCTGTTTTAGAGTAAGCTGTGCCTGCAAATCAAAAAGCTCTTTAAAAATATGTATTTAGACTCACCACTCCTGTGGGAGTGACTGCTTTGCAGGTTTGTAGTCTCAGGTGCAGAAGGGTTAAAATTATTTGCTCAGACTTAAGATGCAGAGTAGACCAGGGAGTTGCAATCCTTAAGGGGCCATTCCTAACACTTTTCCACAATCCCTTCTTTTCAGTTAGTAGCAAATGATAATTTATAACATTGCCTGTTAGGAAAGAGAACATTGCCTCTTAGAAAGAAACTGCAGCGCTGTTCTCCAAACCAATCCAGGTCAGAGATTTTCCAGTTACACTAGCTAAAACTGCAGGAAGTATTTCTGAAGGACAGACACACTATGCATCTTTTTCTTCCACCTGTCTAAACACTGGGCTGTGTGTTTCTGTTCTGGTCTTAAAGAGGAATGATGAATTGCAACTCCACCTTGCAGGGTATAACATTTGATTTTGCTGTATCTGTGGTTAGCAGATCACATTCTTAATACAGCCTTACTTGTCAAACAACAGCTCTGTAGGCAGAGATCAAAGGAGCTGGCAAGAACACGTTTCCTCCACTCATACAGGAGAAGATGAGAGGTAACATGATCTTGACCTCTGAAAGTCAGGTACAGCTCTGAGAGTGGGTGACATGAGCCAGCACTTCTGTTGATCATATAACAACAACAAATACTGGTGCCATAGCACAGACATGGATTAATTATTTGGAGGGAGCTGTATTTTTGCAGGTCCTAACCCCTGTAAAACTGGAATTAACTGGATGAACATATCCTGTATTGTTTGTAATTTTAACAATTTTTACTATAAATATATGAACAAAGCAAGCTTATTCTTAGTAGATTGTGTTGCTAAATTTTGGATGGAGAAAAAGCAACTCCTTTAGTGAATTACATGATCAGATTATGTCACAAAGACTGTCTCTGCAGGGTTTTATTGCTCCCTAAGTAATGTACTGTCTGCCCTTTCCCAGGAAGGTTTTATACCATCAACAAACAGCAGGGGAGTGAAAAATATCATCTGTAGGACATAGTAAACTCACACAAGTAAATGTGGCTATAAACTATAAGTAAGCTAGCAAATTTACAGATGTTCATTCGAATCCAGATGCAGCTACTGTACCTCCAAGGCCTCACAGACATGGTGCAGAAGATGCTTTGCCATATTGCATGGAGAATTAACGAAGTCACATGATGGTGTTGTTGCCATCTTTTCTTTTTCCCCCAGCTGCTAAATTACATTAAAAAGCACTAAATAAACACTCAATATTTTCCTGAAATAAATTTATCGTGTAGCAATTATTGCAGTTAATCTCAGTGTGTGTGCGACTGTAAGTGGGAGGTGTCAATCAATGTAATTAGAAAAGATGTGCCTGGAAAACAACCTCTGCATTACAATATTGCCCCCACTGTAAACACCCTACCACATGGTGTGTCCCTTCTTAGTTACACAGTATAAGTCCTGTGTTGATTCAGGCTTGAATTACACAGTAAATCTTCTTTGTGAATTTATAGACTGTCCCTTTGAAGGCAGAATTGTGCCAGCCTATTTATTTAAAGTCCTTTTTCACTGCAGCAGTGTGCTCTGGAGATCTAATACCTTATACGCAAAACCCCTGAGTGACAGCAGCTCTGCAATCCCATGATACTTATAATACATTGCATATTATCAATAAAATGTTGCAAGACATGTCATAGATCTTCTTAACATAACTTTAAATTATGGGTACAAGTTTGACCTATCTATTGATGGATTAGAAGCAAAGCTTAGACTGTTAAACAGAATTAAAAGGCTCAGGGCATCATTAAACAAACTGTTTCAAGTAAAATGTCTGTATTTCGCCATAAAAAGTCAAAGCATACCTGAAAAGCTAGCTAGTCCCCAAGGCAACTTATAAAGTTTAAAGATACCCATGAATAGCTCTCAAGTATTTTTTAAAAATTATTTTTGCCATTGCTGTCATATTAATTATCATCCAAATTTCTCCCAGAAACTTTGGCCGCCCTAAACATTTTTGATCTGTGTCTCTCCCAGTCCCCCAAAGCAAACCACAGAAAATAAGCTCTGAACTGCCAGGAGGTCTAGACAGCACCCAAACCTTTGGTATCAGTAACATGTAGATTGCCTGCCTGTTGTGTCCCGTTTCTGAGTTGAGATTCATTATGTCAAGGCTGGAGAGTGCAGTGACAATGAGGCTCCAAACAGAGATTTTCAAGTGACTCCTCAGACATGCAGGAGTCTATGCTGGCAGATCCAGCTGAAGACTTTGTACATTAGGTCACAAATGACTCTTCTGCAAATTTTCAGAGACATTTTTTAGGGTTTGTTTATTTGTGTATGGTTAGGTAGCTTGACTGATTTTTATGTATGGAGTAGGTTTTGGCATTTTGACCGTTGATTCTTTGCCACATCTTTTTGTGTTCTCTTTGTGTTAGCACTTTGGCAACAGGGAAAAAATTAAGGCAAGTCATTTAAGTGACTCGTCTGAAGTTATGCAGGAAAACAAGGATAGGGCCATAAACAGCTCAGAGATGTCCTGTTTCCTAGCCCTCCACATATATCCTGGAAATATTCCTTTTTTTTCTGAGTGTCATTAGGATTAACTGTCCATAGCATGGTAAATAGGGCTTCTTCCCTTCATACTTTAATGTTTAAAACACTGAATTTTATTTTTAGGATGTGAACTTCTGTGTTGGGGGAGTAATGGAATGCACTTAGTCTAATAAAGATGGAAGGCAAGAAGCCTAGAAATTACTGCCTTTTTTCATTATTTCTATAATATAATGTCCGGATCAAGTGCAAAACCATGACTGAGAGAGAAAGAGAACTTTTCCATTGGCTTGAGAGGGAATGGAGAGAGACATTGAAAAGAAATGTGTCCAGCTGATGAGTAAGCTGGCATGAACCACAGAGTCATTAGTTTATTCTATTAGAGTGGACTGTATTTTAGTGTAGATAAAAAAAACCAAAATAACTCAATCCATTTCACATTAAATTAAGAGAACATACACATGCTCCATAATCACAACTCTCCCTGAGCACTGATCAGTAATAGCGACCTTTTGGGTAAGGGGTGGAAGGTGACAGCCTAAATAGTTTTTTGTTAATTATTATTCCTCTGTGCTCTGGAAAATCCTAAAATTTAACAACTTTTCTGGGCCTCAGGTCCCTTGAGACCTCACATTGGCAACAATAAAAGAATATATATATTTGGACAACAGTTTATAAGTAATTCTGCTGCTTTATGTTTGTTTTGATTTAGGTTTTGTTTGTTTGTTTGTTTGTTTTTTGTAGTCTTTCCTAGAGTGATAAAAAGCCTTATTTGGCAAGTTGAAAAAAGTTAGTTTTCACTCGTATTTATTCAGTCTCATATACTGAATAAATAAAGGCACAATAAGAGCAGCTTGAGCTCTGCAGTTGACTTCCCTGACTCTTTCAGCTAACCTTAAAGTTCACTGTGCTGAAAACTAATAGCATTTAGTTGTCAAGAAGCCAGAGTAATGACATTTTGTGCCATTATTCTAATGCATTTTTCACTGCGCATTTTCTTTAATTATTTCCATGAGTAATATCATTATGCATTCATGCCAATACAATTCTGATAATTAATTTACATGATGGCAATTTCTTAATGATTTTGATGCCAAAGTTAATAGCAACATCTGATAGTTGATCTGTTTGAGCTGACATAAATTTAACTTTTAACGTATTGATGCCAAAACCAAGAGCAGCATCAAATTACATAGCAGAAAAAGAAACATCCACAGGGTAAAATACTCAGTAGAAAAGCCTTGATACTTACGCAAGGTTGATAGGTTCAAAATAAAACCAGGACCCCCAGACACGATGCATGTCAGATTTTTACTTCCCCTTGGTTTATTTGTTTATTTATACATTAATGGTATTGATGTCTCATGCTTAAGAGATCAAATTATATACTATCATATAAAAGATGTTGTATTCTTGCCTTCAGATTGTTGTATGTATTCCATATATTAAAAGGAAAAAATGCATTAACTAAGCTTTTATCTTTCTTATTCTTTAAGCATGAAATCTAAACTGCTCTGTAGGGGGGGAATTTAGGACTGATGTCTGAACCCAAATTTGTGTCTTGGTTTGTAATTTCAGTTTGCATCAAGCGGTAATAAAATCTGCAAAATAGACTTTATGTGGAGGCAAATATTGTTAATATCAATAAAACAAAAAACAGAGCAATGCAAAATAATGGTTGAGATCAATATTTTTAGTATATTTTTGCTATATGGAATTGATGCATAGATAAAGAGATAATTTTGTGTGTTACTGTATATACATATCTATCTTTTTAATATTGACGCATGTAAGTATTACAAGACAATTAACATAAAATAAACCCACATTCTTCAAGTCTTTATCCAGGGGATTTGAAGATCTCTTTACAAGTTTATAGGTACTTTATTTACCAGTTAAATATTTTAGTGCACCTTAGTATTGAAAAAATGTATGTGAAACAAATTATGATAGCCATAAAATGGTGATGGTTGTTTTCCCTTTATATTTTTAAGGAAAAGGAAAGCTTCATTCCATGACACAGTCACCAACATAATATTTATTTCCCCCTGCCTCAGCCTGTTAAATGTATAGATGAAATTTTAAAAACTATTAGAAATAAAATTGATCCTGCCGTATATCTCAGCCTTTTCCTGAACGGGTTTTCATCATTGATATCCACCAAGGGAGTGCACATTTCATTTTACATCGTGAGGAGATAATTATACAGCCTCAATTAGACCTTTCATTGCTGGAGTATAAAGGGCTGCTAGTGCAGACCCAGATCATTTGCCTCTAAAATGCAATACCTTTCTTTCTTCAGACTCCACAAGCAAGGTGCCTGTCCCTACCTGCTGAACAAGAAGCTGTGACTGATTGCTTTTAGCCTCTCTTAAGCTTGTCTTCACAAACATGATGACACATTCTTGCTTGAAGCCAGGCCCCCAAGATTCAGGTATGTGAGTGTCCATTTTCTATGTCCATACTGTGGAGATGAGCGCTGCTCTACCCAGAGACAAAGTCTGCAGAATTATTTTAAGCCCCAGTGGTGTGGGTGAAGGTGCAAACACAACAGCAATAGCTTAATCCCCTGTGTATATTTCTGGGGAGCTGTACTTTGGAAGAAGCCTGTGGGATGAGAGTGACTTGGTTTGCTCAGAATTTTTAACTTGTGCAGTGTAACATGAGTGCACATGTTCACCTACACACCTGCAAGTTCTTGTAAATGTAGTGTTGTGGTGGAGTACCTGAGAAGAGCATGGATGGGAGGAGATGTCTGAGAGCCCTTGAGTTTCAACCACCCTTTGTTAGGACACACACATCTTCCACACATTCAGACATAAACTGAGTCTACCTCAGCTTTTTGCTCTCAAAAGAGAATTGGTTTGAGGCAGATACTAGTCATACAACTAAGGACAGTGGGAGAGAAGACTGGAACAGAGGCTGATATATGGAATGGGAATTTTTTTGTTATGCAGGCTTTGTCAAATGCATTTCATGCTCAGACATTTGTGATGAAGACCTGGGATACTTTCCTCTGTCATATTATGGAGACTGAGAATGGAGTGGAACTGACTGTCCTTTTTCCTTGGTCTGCAGAAAGTATGGGTTTTAGCTGTTCAAGTTTCCTTTGGAAATAGGTTGGTCAAGAACACATCCTGGTTTTAAGAATAGCTGCTCAATGAGAAAGAGCAGTGTAAATGTTATCTTTATTCCAGGTGAGGAGAAAATCTCTGAAAAGCATTTCTGAGGAGTGTCATCTTTGTGGGTTGATTGTTGGAAGGTGTAAGAAATATGACTATGATTGTGGTTTGCCCACTGAGAGACTCTCCCCCACAACCCAAATGGCTTTCTTGTGGGTGGCATTTCAGAAACCCCTTTTTTTCTGCCTCCAGGCATGTGGAATGCCTGTGCAGAAAATATTTTTTTCTTTTTTTGTGCAGGGCTTGTCATGAGTTGGACACAACCTCTTTGGAATGCAATGTAGGAGTTTGAAAGGGAGGTTTTAAAAATTCAGAGCTGCCTGAGGACTATGAGCATTACTAATGAAAATGTGTTTGAGTTTAATGTTGAAACTAAATGTCCCATAGAACAGAATGAAATTAACTTCTTCCCTCCCCAAAACTCATACAGAAGTTTCCAAAGCCTTATATCTGACCCAGATAACTTAGCCTCTGAGTCAAAAACTCTCCCTCTATGCCTCACATAAACACCCACACCCAGGCATCTCATATTATCTTCCATTTCTTCACTCTGCCAATTATTTGTCACACCCTGTTATTGTGGACTATCTTAAATTAGCTCCTTAGTGACTCAAGCATTTATTAACTGCTCAGGAACCAGGAGTTCATCATGTTAAGGAGCTCCCAGGCCTTAATTGTTGCAATAGGAGTCATTTAGGACACTGATGGTGGCCATGAATCATGGCAGAGGCAGCAGGGGTGCCACCTGGCAACAGGGCTGTGTCTCCCAAAGCAGGAGATGTTCTACTCATCCCCTTCACCAGAGAAACATGGAGTGCCCTACAGGTGATGGGATGCATCTTGTAGCAGTGTCCCTTTGAGTCATGAAGCCTGAGGGAGATGGCAGCAACAACCCACTACTCACTCTCTTTAATCAGGTGTGAGCGCAGAGGCGTGACTGTGGGTATGATCTAGCTGCCTTGGTCCCTGGTGCAGAGGCAGAGAGCACTGCTCCTTTCTGCAGGAACAGTAATTAGTCAGAAGGCAGCCTAGCTACCAGGTACAATGCTCATTGTTTCTCTCCTTGACAGCCAGCTCAGGCCTGTTATTAACAAAAAAAAAAATATTTCGCTTTGAACGTAATTTTGTTCTCTCCATCCTCCACTGCTATATTTTCTTGCAAAAAACATGCTGAGTCACATTACACTGTGGCTAAGGCTGTGGGGCCTCTTTAAGGCGCCACTTTGGCACACTGGTTCAGTAGTCTCAGACTGGACCAAGACCAGAAAAGCAAATAGTGAGGTGGAGGTAGCCTCCCAGTTCCCATGGCACAGATGGCTGTACAGTGACCTGGGAGAAAGTTTTGTGGGAGACGGTCCACAGCACATTACGTGATAGCTTTTTAACAAGAGGGATATTATGTCCTCTGTTACTTGTTGGACTGGGATTGATTACACTGAGTCCTGCAACCTTCTGGATATTTTAAGTCTGCAGACCACAAAGAGCTTTCACTGTAACTGGACAGTCACTAGTGTCCATTTACTGCACTGTCCTTGTCATCCGAAGTTTTCAATCATACAGTTTGCTGACTAATTGTACCAAGCAATGTGTTTTTAATACAATGGGTATTTACAACCTGCAATAGTTATATATAAAGCCTTAAAAAATATGCAATGTCTGACTACTAAATCATATGATTTTAAAGGAGGTTGTGTATATTTTTACATCCACTTTAGACTTACACACAGAGAGTATTTCCAATTGTTTACATATGTTAGAATCTCTTGCATTTAAATAGCTCATTATGCAAATATTTACAAAATACATGGATATTTATTTTTACTGTACCTTCTATTCAATCACTGAGCTAAGATTTAATGTCTAAACATTGTCTACTGAGTCGCATGTGCAGTAATGTATTATGAATAATTATGTACTATATACAGTTATACATCAACAAAAAAAAAAAACAGATTAAAAAAATATTAGCCTTTTAAAGGCAAGCACGCAAATTTATGGAGCATCAGACGTAAGGTGCAATCCTATTTCAACCCCCAATTTTGCATGGTGTTCACTAGCTGTGCTCTGGTTGTCCCCCAGCTGCCTTCAGCTGCGATGGGGGCGTGTGTCCCACGCTGTGTCACAGGCCAAGGCTCAGACCAAGGCTCCAGCCAAGCCTTGGGACCAGACCAAGGCAAATTTATAATGTTTCCCAGGCAAGGACTTTTTCCTGGATTTGGTCACCTAAGCAACTGACCTGGCTCAGTGCGCATGTTTCTGATTTTCCCACTCCGAGAGCAAGAGCTTGCAGAAGGAGAACACCCTGTACTAATTCACCTCTCCGGCTGGAGCCATACACCAAGCAGGACTAATTTTGTGTTTGAGACGTTTGAAAGAGCACTGTGTCCTCGTATAATCAAAGACAGACTGAAGTAATTGTGTTGAAGGGTTTTCCTGACCAGAATATCTTCCACCAGGAAATGCTGCTTTGTCGGAATTGAAATACTTCATAGGAACATTTTGTTGTGATGATATTTTTTGACAGAAAAAAATGTGAGCAACTCAAAATCTGAAGAAAGTTCTTCTCGCTGCTGGTTGTTTCAATGTAGGCCTGATTTAATTTCTTTTGGTTTCAGAGTATACATTATTTATATTTACTATTCATGAATTGAATATTATCAAATCCCCTGCACAATGCCCTTGGAACATTTCAATTTTGTTAATTCTGACATTGACCAATTTGATTATTAGAAGGCTTCAATAAGTTTGGGTTTTAACAGTTATGTGTTTATTGGCTCTTCTGCATGCACAGGGCTTTCCTATATTTTATGAAAACAAGAAAATTTCAGAAACTTAATTTCAACAGAATTTATAACTGCTATGAGGATGACATCCAACCTAAAAAAAAAAACAAAAACAAAACAACTTTTAAATGGATAAAGTTTTCACAAGTTAAAAGCAGCCAAAATAAATCTAAAAATTATTGAGTGATCTCCATAATAGATGGCAACTTTTGTTCCATCTACCACACTGCAAACAATTTGTCCTTGGAAGTTATTCTGAAAACAGTATTTCATTTTTTAAACAGTACAATTTATAGACAAAAAGAAGATACTTGAAGCCAGGTTTTTTAAGTGTTAGCTGAATCAGTGATGAATATGATGTATACGCTTGCCTGTAGTTAAAATTTCCTAAAGCTAATTTATAGCAATATGCATCCTGCATATTGATAATGTCCTAATAAAATCAGACAAAATAGAAGTTATCTTAAACTGAAGACAGGTTGGAGTACAGTAATATCATTTGGATGAAGATTTCTCAGGATAAGTAAATTAATCTGATTGCAAATCTTTTATTTCCAGTTCACAAAACATTTTGTAACTTCCTGGGTATTTATATTAATTGACATTAATATGTAACATTAATTATATTTATATTAAGTGACATTAATATCACTACATTCTGATTATGGAAAAAGGTAAAGCAAAACAGTGATGAAGGAGACTCATGTAGACAAGTATCAGGAAATGTTAAGAGTTTTATGAAAAAGGAATGCTTTCATAGCATTTCAAGCTAAATAAACAATGTTTGGCTATAACGGATCAGTATTCTTCAATTCCTTATTCCGTTGCTCTCTTTGGAGACATTTGGAAATAGGAGTGCTCACAGCAGGCGTGCTCACAACTGTAAATGTGGATAGCAAGAAATCCACCTCCATACAGTGCACTGTAACAAGCCCTTGTTTGTCTGTAGGCTGACTGCTTTTTATGTCAAACATTAATTGGCTGGGCAAAAAGAGATCATCCTGGTTTTCCACGGACTCTTAGCCTGAGGTGACTACAACACCAGCCAAGCTTTTTTGCATTTAATTTTCTACTAGACACTTGCTGGGGATCTTTATGGAGAAATCAGCTTCTGGTCTTCCAGGGACTATGATTTTTCAACAATTTTCCTACAGACATATTGAGGGACAAGAAAGCCAAGAGGGATTATGATGTGGATCTCAGTGTGTTTATGAAAGGGATTATAGACACGTTTTTCTGCAGCAGCAGTCAACTGTGGTTGGTGGCTCAGGAACTTCTTTTGTTTGCTGAAGCAAACAGCATTGGTCAAAAGGACCAATGTCTTCTCAAAAGCTTCAGCTCCTTTCTGGACGCCAGCAAAAGCTATCTGAGGCAAAGGTTCCTGCTGTTGAAATCCAGGGCCAGAACTCAGACCAACCTCTGGGGTCCTGTCTCTTCTGCTGGCTTCCTTCTCCTGCTACTCCCGCCTC